AGGCAACTGGGTGCAGGGCATCGTTGAGACGTCAAAAGAAAGTGGCCACGAGATCGCCAACAACGGCAAAACCGCTCAAAGGCAATGAGACACCGCAAGCGCAGAATGGAAATGCAGCAGGAAAAGAGGTCAACTTTCTCCTATCTTCCCCAGTGAAATATTATTTTTAAATGCTGCTACACTGGCGCACATGAGATTGAAGTGATGAGAATTACTGAGCATCACTGACTCATACACATAAACCGATCCAGGACGGATACCTGAGGAGGAGGGGGAAGAAATCGGGCTTCAGACGTGGCGACAACTAGGGGAGGGGGGAAGAGGGAAGGAAAGTTGAACTGTTGGGAGGAGTGGTCGACGGAGAGGTTCGAAGGGCATTTTTTATTAGTTTCAGCTTTAGACCCGGACTTTTCTAGTACTAGTGCCTGTTTCGCTGGGGCGGCCCCCACCCCCGTTCCCCTCTCCCCGCCACTGAATTCGCCTATACTATCATGGTGGTGTTTTTTCCTGGCATTTGACTCAGGGTCAAGTTCCAATCGCAGCTTGATTAGATCATAAGTTGGTGCCTAGGTACCCACGCATGCCCGATTCGTTCTTAATTTGATTTTGAGATGGGTCTGAGGGAAAAAAGAAGGGATAGTATTTGCTCCGATGAGGTGCTGCTTGTACCGTTCCACAAATGCCTCTGCTTTCTCCAGAATATAAGAAATGAAAGGTGTACCACAACTGAAAGGGGCAGATCTACGGTCACCTTATGCTGACCATGTGGGTTTCTTTCAGATTGAAAAGCACCCTACTGAGGAAGGACAGGCTGAGAAAGAAATCGAAGTACCGGCAGAAGCAGAGCATGCTAACGAGGAGTACGAGAAGTGCAGGACGCCATCGCCCCTACCTCGCGAGCTATTCTTTAAATTGTTCGAACCACCAAATCGCCAAAAGAATTTTGGCTGCGCTCCGGTGAAGGAGGCTCGACGAAGTTTGGCAGAAAGAAATGTGAAACTGCCCGAAATTCGATCTGCACGACGCACAGTGTGAGAACTGGAATGCGCGCACACTGAGGAAGGTGGGTGATTTATTTCTCACTTTTGGAAAACGGACAAAAATCCACTCCTTATTCTTTGTTTATGAGAGATAAAGACGCTGGAAAAGTGATAACAATAGCAATAATAATAATAGTAATAATAATAATAATAATAATAATAATAATAATAATAAAGTAATGGTGATAATAACAGTAATAATAATGCTAATAATAACAATAATAGTAATAATAACAGTAATAACAAAAAGTTATAATAAGGAATGAAATAAAGAGGAAAAAAAAGGGAAAGGGAGGCAAGGAATGAAAATTAGAAAATTTGTG